GTGGGAATCGAACCCGCAATCTTTGGGATACTAGACCGCGGGAATCGAACCCGCGACCTTTGGGATCATTGTTTCTATAAACGTCCCGTTCTCCATGCCATCGATATCACAGTTTAGTGATCGGAATGTTCCATTATCCTTTCATTTTTTCGAAAATCCATTCTTCATGCCATCCAGATCACGATTCAGTGTTCGGAATATTTCATTGTCTTTTCATAGTTTCTGAAACGCCATTGTTCTTCAAGGCCACTGATGTCCAAGGCCCATTGGTTGTCCCTGCGCCTAATCGCAGGTTAGTTGACTGGAAAAAATACAATCTCGTTCCCAGAGTATGCCTGTTCGCGGGTTAGGTATGCCACTACCTAACCCGCGCACAGGCATACTCTGGGAACGAGATTGGAAAAAATAAGGAGGCGTTAACTCCGTAATTTTTCGTAGCCCGCGCCTCAACCCCCAAAGACAACGTGAAACCAGTTATATTCACTTTACTGCTGCGATTCCGGCCACGATTCGTATCCTGGCGTATGTAATCGAAAATCGAGTTGTAATTTCGCCATATAAAATGGCAATTGCTAGATAGTATACTTCAAAATAAGGTTTCCGTTTTTATATCAATTTTAAAAATAAGTTAGGGTTAGGTTAGGGTTTAGGTTGGGGTTAGGTTAGGGTGAGTATTAGGGTTTTTATTTATTTATTTATTTATTTATGACAATATTTAAATAGGAAACTCTCTCACGTAAAGTGATTTTCAGAGAGGTCCTATATTTAAAAATATACATATATAAATAGGTTAGGGTTTAGTTTTGCGTTAGGATAGTTTTTTCAACGTTATAAAAACGGAAACCTTATTAAAATTTTGAAGTATACTATCTAGCGATCACCCATATAAAATAGGAATTAATTGATCGTGGCGTCGGCAGTAATTTTCATACGCCACCAGAACGAGGTTGATTTCAAACAGGTTTCAAACGTCATTTTGGCGGATGTGTTTTAGTAATTTAAATGATGCAACAACAAATACATGCAGGTCTTCGAAGAAAAATTCCTACTCATTTTCTCGAATTTTATGAATACTTTTCTGGGTGATTACACAACCATATTCGTGAGACAAGAAGCAAGTTATCAAGATGAAGTTAAAAGCTTTAACTTTAGCCGTTTTTCTTGCCACGATTTCGTATAGTTTTAGCACAATTTATAATACAACGGTTACAAGTGAACCTTCCAAATCGCCAGCTGTAGATACAAGAGTAAACTCTACACAGCAAAATGGAAATCATACAAATTCGCCAACGAAGAAAACAACTGAACCATCTACCGAAGCAGCTTCAAAACACACCACACCAAAATTAGTATCAAAACCTACGAAAGACACTCGAATTAATAATACACCTGCCCCTCCACGGAAGACGAAACCCACAACAACACACAAGAAAACGAACACAGCAACGAAACCGATAACCACACCAAAACCAACTACAACTCCCAAGCCTGAAATTACGTGTGAAATGAGAAACGAGTCTTGCTCGGCATGTTTAAAAGACAGCAGCTGTTTTTACTGCGATTCTGATAATACGTGCAAGATGAAAAAGAAAGGCAAAATCCTTCCCTCTGGATGCAAGGGGAACAAGTGGTATTGGAAGCAATGTAAAATTCGTGGTAAGTTTTCTTTGATTTTTAAAATGAGTTTTGTATTGTTTGTATTTTGATTCCGTTGGGTACAAAGATGTCATGTGTTCCCAAATTGTTGGAATCCCCCCCTGGTTGTGACGTATTTGCCTAGTGCGCTCTTTATATATCTGGAGCGAGAACTTTAGCCATTCGGCCTATGAAAAAGTGAGGTCAAAATGGCAGAAATGACATTCAGTATCTATATCGAACTGACATCCAATAAACTCCATCTTGGCTCCAAATATATTAAACACTGTGGTCAAACGGCTGCACATATTTACTGCTTCTATTCAAACTTCTATTCATATTTACTGCTTCTATTCTACTCGCTTGTGCGCATTACATTTGACCGCAGTGTTGGTTCTACTTTTTTATCTCAAGTTCTCTCTCCAGATATATGTATGGAGCTCACTGCTTTGCCTCATGGGCAGATTTATGTGGGGGAGGGGTTAGGAGGGGGGTTAAACCTCCCCCCCCCCCTAGAATCTCTCTAACCCTCTAATAAAGTGTTCAACCCCACCAAAATTTCACTTCACCCCTCCTATTTTGTGTGAAAGGTTTTAACCCAAAACACCTAACCCCTGCCGAAGCTCACTGAGTGGTGCCGCTTGCACCCCACCAGAAATTTTTCTACCCCTCCTTTGAAATAAATGAAAATCCGCCCTTGCTTTGCCTTACATGTCCACAACTTGATAAGTATGTTGTATTCCTTCATCAGGCAACATTTTGATCATCGTCATCCCAACCGTTGGAGGAGTATTGTTAATCATGCTTGGTTGTTGCATCTACTGCTGCTGTTGCCGTCGATGCAGCAGAAACAGAGCGGCACGAGAGGAAACAAGACAACAGCAACGACGTGCGGACCGACAAGAAAGGAATGCTGAACGCAAACAGAATAGAAAATCCAGGCACGATGCCATCCGAATGAAATACGGTCTCTTGCAAAACGTGGATGATGACGAGGACGATGATCCAGTTGCTTAGGAACTTTCTTTAATTAACCATTATTTAGTATTTAACTAGTTTAGGCCAAGAAAAAATATGTGGGTTTCCGGTTTCCCGACCCTACCAGTTTCCCGACCCTACCAGTTTCCCGACCCTACCAGTTTAGACGTCGAAATCCTGACCCTAAACTTTTTTATTGGATCATGCTTGTAAGTGTTTCCACTTAGAGGAAAAAGTTTGTGGAAAATTGAAATTTGAGGCAATATTAGGGAAATTTATCTTTGGATGTGGAAGCACTGACTAAACAAAATGGCGTCCGGTTGTTCGGAAAATTTAAAAAAAAAAGTTTAAAAAAAAATGTTAAAACCGACCTACCCTACCTAAGTTTTTATAAGAAGAAACCGGAAACCCACATATTTTTTTTTGGCCTTACCATATTTAAACTTTGTTTGCATTTAATTTAAATTGAGTCATGAGATACTTACATATCAATAGACTTGCATGAATACTTTATATTTTAGTTATAATCAGTGCTCAATACATCAGTTTGCCATCGGCCATTTTCCAAGCAAAACCCTGGACATTTTGCCATGTTAATTTCAATAATTTCTCACTCATTCTTGCAAAATCAAAACTCAAAATCCCTGGGTGAGTGAATTCCAGGAATTTTGAAATTGTAACAATCCACCTCTCAGAAATTCCTTTAAACTTTGTTGAGGTATAGAATTGTAACATTGTATTGAATTTATATTCAAATTTTGTATGCTAGTGAGATAATTTATGCAGCATACTGTGCAAATTTTCTTTTTTAGTTTGAGTTCTATAGATAATTACTGTTGGATCAAGTTCAAGCAAACATGGGTTGTCAGAATTCTATTGAATGTGTTTGCTAGTTTATTCGAGGCTCTTGCTGCGTTTATGAAATAACCCACAAGCAGAGATTTCTATACCATAGTGAAGCCACAGAAACCTCTTGCTGAGCATGCGAATAGAGATTAGATTGTTGGATACAAGCTATAAACATACCCAAATGTACTTGCATAAAATATATTGTATGCTTGTTTTGTAGAGTGTAGAATGTAAATTGTACGTAGTTACTTAGTCTTAGTAATTGCGAACTTGTGAACATTATTTGTACAAGAACACTATATCCTATTTGGCTACAATCTAACACATTAATTGATAACACACACAAACGTGTAGCAATATTCACCAAAGGAATGTATTATATTTGTATCTATAATTCGAAATTTGTTTAGTCTGCAGACTTTTCACATGTAGTCGTTGTTTCAGTATGTCATCGTCAATTTAAGCCTTTGCGACAGGGATTTGCGTATTTTTGGAAATGGCATTTCCGAGCCTAGATATTTCAATTTTTTCTTCCTACGCTATATACTGCTGTGTAGGGCCGCCGAGAGGGGCAGGGGGCAAATTGCCCCGGCGCCCCACCTTAATAGGGCCCCAACTTGAGAGCAAGAGCCTAAAATTAAGTAGGTTCTTTAAATTGGTCTGAGCATTTTTGAAATTGAGGGCCCCTTGCAGTAGCTCCACATACAGTCTAGCTATAAGGTCTAGTTGGGTGACTGAGTCTTCTCGCAAAGATATATATAGGAGACCATGTTTTCTTGTCGGTTATAAGTCTTCCTCTGTTTTGCGTGAGTCGAACTGTGACAACTGTCTGTGTCTTATGCAAATCATTCGATGAGAGCCACCATACTGTGCTTTTCAATTTCATTCTTTTGTCAGGAGAAAAATTAATTCATAAATTCGACACGAATGGTTGTGTGGCGTGTATACTCACCTATATCAATTCCATTACATATTTAAAATTGGTAGTTTTTTTATGGTATTTTATCTGAGCACCAAAATTACATTGTTCCAGTATAGCTGGTGATATTTGTTATAAAAGATTATGGCCCACTGAATTCCGATGCATCGTCGAATTTGTTTGGTGTGAAAGACCGTCTTTGGATGTGTTCATGAAGCATAACATTTTGATTCATTATATATTTCGACACAAAAGTACGTAGAGTCATAGTCTTATAAGAATGGATTTGTGTCACATTCGAAGCAAAGCTGTTTCCCACTGCTAAGCCGAAGGGAAGTAGGTTGTGTTTGGTGGTACATTGCGTTTCTCAATGGTGAATATTGATGTGTGTTACTGAAGTGTATATCCTTGTATGTTATTGATTGAAGATGAGTTCATGTCTCAGAGCGTATCATTGCAGGTAAGCTACTGGCATGATCGTTGTCAAACGACGATGAGAATGCACGAGAGTTTGCAATTACATACATATATATACATACATTACATATATACATAAATATACCCGGTCATGTCCCAAAAAAAACTGCATACTGTTTGATTTCATGTAACGTAAAAGCTATAAAAGCTATCGCAATGAAATGCTGATCATTGCATTCAGAAAGACTAACTTAGATTTTGATATATAGCACTTGAATTTTCACGCAATATTGAGCGTGATACGACCAAAATAAAAATATTTATTATTTAACAAGTATAACTATACATTGGTAATTATATAAGATTGTTCTATGCTAATTTTTGGCATTTTCAGCTAAGAAGCCGATGATTACAGGATGGACAGTATATACGATTAATTGAATAATTAGTATTTTTGCACAAGTGAATTATATAACAAATCCTACAAGGTGATTGGTCAAATTTGACGTATTAAGCTGTTGTATTCACCTATACATGCAGGTGAAGTAACAAAACCGAAATTTGCAAAGTGGCGGCTAGCTGTTTTGTGGAAGTTAGGCCCCTAATTAAGAGGCTCCTGAAGGGGGGGGGGGGGCGTATTCCCATTTCCCAGCCCAAATTTTGACTAAATCCCATTGTCTCAGTGGCTGTCCTGCTCAAATTTTAATCCCATTCCCATTTTCTATTGTTTTTTGCTGATGAGTCCCAGTGCATGAAATCCCATTTTCCCACCCAATGATTATCGATTTTTATTCACCGATAATCACCTCGCCTTCGGCGAATAATTATTAATTATTCGCCCGAAGCCGGCCGAGGTGATTATTGGTGAATAAAAACCGAGACGAAGTCGAGGTTTTTATTCTCGATAATCACCGAGCCTGAGGTGAATAATTGTTTTAGTATAATTTTATAGGTGATTATTTGGAAAAAAATAAGAAAAATACACATTTCTTCGTCATTTAATTGACAAAACGGCTTCGGTCGCCATTTCGAAAATGGCGTAGGTGCCTTATCGCATTATAATCATCTCGGCAACGGCAACCAATCAGCATGGAGAATTTTCAATAATCACCTATGTAATTATACTAAAGAGTATTAACGTCTATATATCATGCATTAAAAAATATGTAAAATTCTATATATTAACAAAAATATCTTCTATTGAATAGTGCGAAAAGATTAAGTTGTGACTGGATTTTTTAATTCCTAAAAAAAAGTTTTAAATACGGCGGGGCAAAGCTTTGGAATAGGCTTTCTCGAGAAGCAAAAGAAGCACAATCAATTCATATTTTCAAACAAAATATTAATCTTTGACTCGGTTATACCAATGTTAATATAAGGGTCACACCTCCTGTATCCAGTTTCTATATTAATACTTTGTATATAAATTGACGACGCCCCTCATGAAAACCAACTTATGTTGATAAGGCTAGCGTCGTGAAATAGATTTTTACGACGATTTTTACGAATACTGTTACTATCATATGTTATTTCTCTCTCAGAACGAAAACGAAGATAGTAATATGTATATTTGCAATTTGGCTCATTCAAGCAACGTGGCTTGGTTTATTCTCGACAGAAATACCCCTGGAGCAGAAAAACGTGACATTTTACGAGCATTTGTCGGAATCGTTGATAACAACAGAAACTCTGAACAACTCACGAGGAAAACTTTTAATTATCCAGCATACGGAAACAACGAACGGCGATGTTATAAAACTTAACCTAACTTTAGATATCATTGACGTGAGCTTTCCGAAAGTAGTACGTCTAGGACCATATTCCTCAAGTAATAGTAACAGCACGTCTAAAAAGTATGCCTACGTGATTGGACGCTATTGGGAGCAAATGACGCAAAGCATGCGAGCTTTTTTATCATTGGTCTTGCAAGCATCGTCCGCGGGTCGCAGTGTCGTCGCACCGATGGTCAAAGACTCGCGTTTTCAAACAGCCGGCTTCCCAATTGACTATTATTTTGATAGAAAGTATATCAAGGATATTCTTGAGACCAGAGGTTACCCTGATATTGTAGACAGGCAAGAGTTCCTAAAGGAGTGTTCGCCCAAAGATCCAAATTACACAACAGTACATTTTCTGTACGATCAAGTAAAAGCCGGAACCTATACTAAAAATCTCTTCGAGCTGGACGATGCGACCTACTCTAATGTTAGCCTCCAAGCTAGAAAGAATGGTTGGACACAGTGCTCGTTTATTCAGAAGCTGACCAAACAAACGGGTTCCAAAATGTTTTGCGTCGATACAACCGTCATTACAGACTGGGAGGTTTTTGAACGCGATGTAATAAAATCTCCCAAATGTTTGAGTATCGTACTTTGGAGAGGCATTGGAGATACATTTCGTGCAAGATTTAAGGAAACCCGTTCAAAACTTTACACCCGCGATTTCTTTCTTTCTCTCAAACCAAGCCAAGCGGTTATGACCGAAGTTGAGAAGTTCCAAAGAAAATTTCTCCATGGTCAAAAATACATAGGTATCCAAATTCGCGGTGAGAGAGTCGCTATTTTACGTGGAGTCGCGCACTTGGAACAGTGTATCCATCTCTTAGGCTATGTACTCAAGTTAATCAAAGGTTTTTTCAATGTGGATAAAGTATACGTCGCTACAGATATGTCGAAATTCGGGTCCAAGTCATGGAAAGACTCTGTTAAGCGTGATACGATCACAGATGAAACGCTGCGCAAACTCCAGGACTTGGTGTTGTCTGTAACGAACGGGGTCACTTTTGAGCAAGCCGCTGACAACGGTGAAACATTTGATCGCGGGCTCGTAGCTCTAGTCGAAGTGACGCTGATATCGCGGGCTCGGAGCCTACTGACTATTGGTTATTCGTCATTCCACGAGTGGACGACTTCAAAATTCCTAGAATTTCATCGTAACGAGTCGCCGACCACATGGTCGCTAGTAAAATTATGTTTTGAGTGAGACAATCTAACTCACTGGATTTTAAGAATCGAAGCAGTTTCTATTAATTGGAATGTTCTTTCAATATTTGATCATAAATTTTAATAGAAAGATGGATCTTACTAACTAAAAGATAGATCTTACTATAATTAAAATTTTCTGCTCTATTCGAATCACAAAGAATCCTGAGATTTGTCAGATTGTTTTTGGACTCTTAACCACTTTTTAACTACTACTCAAAACTCTTAACCACTTTTTAACTACTATTTTGTAGTTAAATTGTATAGTTAACTCTAAAATATGCGATTTTGGCTGGCTAACTTTCGCACTAACTGTAGCTAATTTTAACTACGTACCTTTTTACACACCCGGCCCCTGGCCTGCAAAAGATCACGTGTGCAGTGGAGAGGGGCTCTATGACAAACATACGAAGGACATAATTTTATATTTTAAATGCAAGAACAACTTCGTAGACTTAGATATCTCACAGTATGTCGAAAATACGGCAAACAGAACACGTGCAGGCACCTCTTGCCTTTTACGAACCGCATTATGTAGAACAAGCACATTCCAAAACTCGTACTTTGTTAGAATTGTAAAACTATGTATGTAAATCTGCTCCTCCCAACTGCTACGACACTCTTTCCAATTTTAAAACATACCTACACAAGACTTATCGCCACTTAACATGCAGCTACTGTTTACACTCCTGACGAACCTATCTCGCACTCTTTGATCACGGCCAACTGACATCTTCCACTCCGCCATGTATCTCTTTCTACCTCTTCTCTCTTTTCATCTACTGTACTTCAGTCTAACCTTCCATTTCTATTTCATATATTTTGTAATTTTGTCTGTTCTGCAATATTTAGTGGTGAGCACCCTGCATGGGACATGGTCTCTTTTGTGCTACGCCTCTTTTGGCACCTGTTTGTTTGATGTTGTCCATATGTTTCTCAAATGTAATTGTCTATGTGTATTATTCATGTGTCAAAATAAAGCTTAAGTAATAATACTTGCAAGGGAGGTAAGCCAGTCCGGGATTGGACGCACCGAGGGTGCGGCTGGAAGTTTCCCGATTCGTGTTCGGGAAACCTCGAGGTGCGTCCATTCCCGGACTCACCGAGCTTGCAAGTATGTTTGGTTTTCATCACATGTCATTGCGGTAAAAAATACTGCCTGAATTTACGCATTTTACTATATAATTTCTTGTTTCGATAACGAACATTTAGCCGCCAACATACTGCGCATGCAAAAAAACAAACTTAGGCTTAAATTGAAGCTAAAAAAATTCTCTACGATATTCCCTTATTCTTGAAAAGAACCGGAAAATGCACACATTCTGCGAAAACATTTGCCTGCACTATAACAACAATTTAACAACAATCGTTGTTTACAGCTGTTGATGCATACTTTGTTTTGTGAATTATTTGGTTGAACTGCTAACGACGATAACCCGCCGACACACCGCAAGTATACGTGAGCCAGGCCGCGGACAGTGTCAGTTTTTGCCAATTAAGGAACCGTTCATTATTTATACCCGGGGTTGGTGCCGAAGAGAAGCGAAAAACAGTGTAAATTTTTTATTTACGCAACCTTAACATTGGTCAAATTCGTCAAAATAATGTTTACCCAACCCATGTGTTACTGCACTTCATAATAATTAAACACACAAGATTATGGTGACAGAAATCAAGTTGCCTAAATTCTAGAAGCTCACTCAAACTCACTGAGTGTGCCAAAGCAATCACGTTTCTGCTGATCAATGATAGAGTCCTTCCTCAATCACGGATGGTCTATTTTGGTACAGAACGTATTGTAGGCTACACATTTTTCTTCATATTTTCCAATGCATGGTAATTTTGGTTTTATTTTATTTTATAGCTGACAAACAGCCATAAATATTTTTACCCAACCCATGAGCTAGTCAAAAACTTGATTACCCAACCATATCAGTCTTCGGTATACCAACCCCGGGTTGGATGAACGGTCCCTAATTCATATTTGAAATTATCCGCACAATTAAAATTTCTATTCAATTTTTGAAGGTCATGCTGATGCAGACCAGTAATCCTAATTCAGTACCCTGTCGGGTGATCTTATTTACCTGCAGTGCATTTTTTAAGGATTCTTCAGTGGTGGGGCAAAACTGCCAAAGGGCCCATTTTCCTTGTTCTCCCCCCAGGATAGTTTGCGTTCGCCGAATGTGTGAGCCGAGAACCGCAGGCTCGAGTTAGCTAGGGGTGTCTGGGGCATGTCCCCCAGGAAATTTTTTAAATTTGGGTCTCTGAAATAGCATTTCCTGCATTCTGAGAAATTGTAATAAATTGCATGCTAAACATCTAAACACAACATAAGTTTAAAGTCCCGTTTACACTACGCTCAATTTTTGGTACCGTACCACTTTTTGGTTCTTGGACTACCTAAATAGATAGTCCAAGAACCAAAAAAGTGGTACGGGTACCAATTTTATCCGTGCCGTACCAAAAATTGATTTAAACTCATTTACTCAATACAGGTCATAGGGCCCTGGTTTTGGGGCAATAGGTCATTTTTTTTCTTCAGTGGTGGGGCAGAGGAACGGGCCCAGTGGGGCAAATGCCCCACCACTCCATGATATTAAAAAATGCCTTGTTTACCTGCGACAAGTCCGACAAGCGAATTGTGTGCTTGATTTGACACACTGCCTTTTTAGTACAGCTCAAGACAAGTTGTAAGCAGGTTGCATGCGATAGTTTTGGCAAAAGTTGTGAAGTGTAACTCGGCCTTAAGTCTCGTTTTCTAGCCGGTGTTTGTGATGATTCTTAATCTACTGAGTACTGGCTCTTTCACGTGGGTTTTCATTCTATATTTTCTCGTTCAAGCTATGATTCCAGTTACAGACTAAATTTTGATCTAGGCAAGAAGAACAAAATCCGCATCACAACAGCTAGAAAGAGCATGTTAAAATTAGTAAAAGTGCAAAGTTTGGCCGCGAAATGTTGTAAAATGAGGAAAATATAGCCCTGCGAAATTTTCAAATAAAGTATTAATTTGTATTACGCACGGGAAAATGCACCACTTTCGGCCCAAATGTGGTGCATTTTCCCGCGCGTAATACAAACAAGACGCTCTGTTGAGCGTTTAGTCGCTGGGGTATTAAAAAAAGGCACGTCTTGATTAGAATAACTTACCATATATCATCAACCTCGTACCCAGGGCTTCTGCGCTCGTTGCTCTCTCTTCATTCTCGTACCCAGAACCGTTCTTACGCGCGGTCAACAGAGTGCGACGAGGGGCTCTGGCCAAATCCAAACCGGAAAAACATGGTATTAGAACAATATCCGGTATTAGAACAATAACCTTCGTTGTGGCCAATCAGATGCCAGTTTGATGTGGATTTGGCCAGAGCCCCTCGTCGCGCTCCGTAAGAAAGGCTCTGGGGACGAGAATGTTCTCTTCTGAGAGCAATCTCGAAACCAGAACCTGCAAGCCTCCACAGAAGATATGAGAGCAATAAGTACAGAAACCCTGGGTACGGTGATTTCATTGGATCTATCTGGCTTAAGCCAACTTCGAGAACATTGGAAACCAGGATTCAGCAATTTTATTCAAATTTATTGCAACTCAACATTTTGACCCTTCAATTTTCTCAAAAAATGTAATACCCCCCCTTATTATTATTATTATTCTTATTATTATTATTTATTATTATAACGAATATTTACACAGGCTGGATATATACATTTCAGCACAAAAGTGCTGTTATCAATGTGAGTCTTGTTACACCTTAAGAATTAATTAAAAACTATTAAACTACTACCTATAGTTAGGAAGTTAGCCTACTACATATTATAACTACTACTTTATCATTTATTTATACTCATGGCCCCACCTTTGCCCCCCCCCCCTCCCTCTTCCATAAATAAAGACTTGTCCCAAACTCCAGGAAAAATCTGTGCACTTCACAAAACATTTATAACAATTTATTGCGTTCGCCTCAGGCTGGGTAACCACAACAGAAATTGCCAAAATGTCCTTTCAAGGTAGCTTGCATGTCAGGGAAGAAAATGGCTGCCCCCAAGCCATTTGCAAACAAATTCAATATCTTTTCCAGAGAAATATGCCAAATCCCCCATGATGGAAAACGTCAAAATCCTCACCCCCAGCTAGGCTAAAAATATCGGCAATAGCTCCGCCCCTTGGATTAGGAAAAGCTGCAAAGGCCCGGGGGTGAGGGGATGGGAACTGCTGGAATTAACTGATACATTAGATTATCAAAGCTAATTTTAAAATATGACAATAACAGACAACTCTTCCGCCAATATCTTAAAAAGAAATATTCCAATAATTTTTCATTAATTAAACAGCCAGGAATTACATACCAAATAATAACAATGGTTAAAGACTGTGTTAATCAACAGCAAGTATGGAATATCACTACGTAAACAACAATTTGATATTACCTTAAAAAGAAAAGCTACTAATTCTGACCAATGGGAATTTTGTGTGTACTACGAATCATATGCATTTATTGTCTCCGTAGCAGGCTTTATTTTACCCTGTGAGCAAAGTCGTCTCATATTTCTTCTCGGCATGGCACGGAGAAGCGAGAGAGATTCTGCAAAACTTGTGTATATTCTTTGTGGAGCCAACAATCCAAAAACTTGGATAATTATGTATAATTTCAGGTTTGATACTGGTTTAATAACTGGTTTTGATGCCGGAAACAACGAAACCAGAAACTACTTATTAAATCTTCTTCTGGGAAATAGGCAGTTGCTTAGCAACCTTCGCACATGCTCAAATGAATTTCTACCCAAGTTCTGCAGAGTCTCTCTCGCTTCTCCGTGCCGAGAAGAAATAGGAGAGGACTTTGCTCGCAGGGCAGCTTTATTTCAAGGATAGAGCCTGACACGCTGGATACTTTCAAAGTTAACCCCCCCCCTACTTTATTACTTTACTCTGCGTAACACTAGACAATTTTACTTGAGGACGCCATATTCAATATATTATTCTCACCAGGAAATTCCATTTTGTTTGCACCCCTTGCACTATTGTGTTTCATTATGGCATCTTCAACTTGAAAGAGTCTATTACTCTGGCCCCAACATTTACCCGTTAAAAACACAATATATGATGAAATAACTAAATGTTACAGGTTTACACGCCTGACACCTGGTCCTTGTATTTCTGTCTTGTTAGGCTACATCATGTTCTTTTGACCGCTTATCCGTATCAGGATTGCTTGCATCAAGGGCCGTAGCGTAGAAAAAAGCATCCAAATAAACGGCAGTTTGCGAATATTATATAAATATTGTGAACTTTTGTCGTCTATTTCAAGCTTGTAGCGATCCAAGTTACTCACATAAAATGACTTTCGCTTTATAAAGTCTGGTTCATCGGAAAACTTTAAAGTTTCATCGGAAAAATAAAAAAAATATGTACAAAATCGATGAAATTGTCGATACTAAATAACTAAATTCGCTCCGAAGAAAGCGGCCATCTTGAATCCAGCGACGAATAGTAATGACGTAATTTTTATTATTTATTAATGACGTAACGTTCATTTTGTGGCTAACGATCACTGAGCTATAATATTACTGGAGGAGGTGCTCCTATCTCTCGTCAGTCAAAAAAGTGTCGCCAAAAACATGGCGGATTTTCATGTTTGCTGACGCCAATTGGTTCCTCCGGCTCATGGCAATTACCACTGACCAACCGCGATCCTACGCTTGAAATAAAATCCTTCACCCCCCTGGTTTTTGCACAAATTTTGATCATAATTTTCGAGTTTCGACTGAAAATCTTGATATTTTTGCAGTCGAGGAAAAAGTGTGTTAGTTTTAAGTTTATAGTCTGCTTGTAGATGAAACAATTCACTCGAGAGGATTATTATATTTCTTGTTTTCAGGTAAGATTAACGAAAGTTTTATTTCTTTTACTTTTTTTAAATTCTACCTTACCAAAGCTTGGGCTGCTTCGGGCAAATTTAACTCAGTTGCCATTTCGATGGAAAAGCATAAATACATAAACATTATGTCAAAAACTACCGTTATAAACAACAAATGTTGTAATATTGCTAATTTCAACAATATCACAGTAGTTTTGTATCCTCTTTTTTGTTGTTCTTTATATTCAAACTCATTCTCATACTGTAATTTTGTCTCATATCTTGGGTTCAAAATCCTTTTCCCGACTTGTTTTGTTTTATATACTTTGAAATAATGAAATCCGTGATCGGTTTTAACTGTTAACTACCAGGTTTTTGTAGCAGTATTTATTTAGGATGCATGTGCACAACCTACCTTTTCAGTACCCTGCCAGTTGCCACTCTGACACTTTCAAAAAAAATCAGCATTTAAACCTTTATTATAAGTAATTAAATAAGGAACACTATGCCCTACTTTGTTATCTTACCCAGTCCAATACCAGATAATTTTACTTGTTAAGGGGAAAGTGCTGGTGCACTCAATTGCTTAATAATTTTAAGTCATATAATATTAAACATCATTTTTTTATTTGTATCACCCCCCCCCCCTTTTGGATATTCTAGCACATTTTACTTGTGGATCCCCCCTCTACACTGTCACAGCTGTAACTTGTAGCACAGGCTGTGGGAGTCTAAATCGTTTCTGTAATTCATGTAATGACCCAATATAGTTCAAGTGCCCTCACAAATCCAATGGAATTTGCTTATCCTGAGGCTGATGCTCAAGCATGAACAAGAAAAAAACAAATAAGGTGTTTGAATGCAAGGGCTGTTGCAGAAATAACTTTATTTGATCATTTCCATTACACAATAGCATGTTTATTATATACAAAGAGTGTCAAAGACCATATTCTTCACACTGAACATCTATTACATATTGCAGTGTAAGGATGTATCTTAATGTATTAATGTTACATTCTGATATTCTGTCATTCATTTTGCAGGTAAAATCATTCACAGGCACCACATGACATATCACAATGGATCAAAATGCTGAACAGCCAAAGCAAAATCATACCCATCTGGCTACAAAGTCATAATAATAACTTTGTCTTGATAGTTTTATCACTGCTAACAAAACTAATTATTTCTAATAATTGATAATTGATTATTCTTTAAAAAAGAGGTTGAACTATGAACTGTCTCACCATCAAATAATTCTGCAATTAGACCAAAAAGAGATTATATAATTAAAATGTTGTAAAATAAAGTTTTCACTACAGACAAAAGAGTAAGAAAGTGAAGAAAGGAAATGAGAAAAGCAGCTATTTAAAAGCCACCACACTATTTAAAGGCTTGAATGTATCATGCAACTACCTGAAAAATAATACTATAGGTCTTTCACCTGAAATGTTGAAGTTCATTGATTTCTTAGTTTCAGGTAGTTGCATCTGATATAGGGGTGCACAGAGAGAGGACTGAAATGAACAAAACCCCAAATAAATCCACCTGCATGGACTGGAAGTGACATTATCTACCAATTAAATTGTTTCTGACTTGATGTCTGAGTAGCATGTGTGACTTTCTCAGTTCTGGCCTGTATAATGAGATCCAGTGCAACCCTATAAAGCCTATAATCTAGATACTTTGCTTAATACCTACACTTGTGATTGGTACCCAACATTCAAGAAGTGCAATCTTATTTCTAGTGGTTCAAGACCCCTAAATCCAACATGTCATTAGTCAGAAATCTAGGTAGAAATCATGTCACCAGATAAGTTGCCCACAGTATCCTGAGCTTCTGGTACCCCTAGGCTAGCTTCTACTGGCACCCTAGATTATGCATACTATAATAACCACAGACTCTAGTATATATAAACACAAACAAATATAGATAGAAGCACATTGTTTCATGCCTTTACACCTGTATATACTTATTTAGCACATACAATTGCATAAAATCAAGCATGTCAGATTTCAGTCATCAGTCTATATAGAAAACCCAAAGGATTTGAGGGAAAAAACTGATTTATTAAACTGAATTAAATAAAACAAAATTTGTTTATTTAACAAAAACCATGGCCTGCCAACAATTTAACAAAGCTAGTATAAAAGTGAAAAAAAAAACTTTGAATATCAAAACAAAGTTTCTGTATTTTTTACGACAAAGTTTGAATACACGGGGGAAAATAATACGTTATACTATTCAAATAGCCTGTTATCTAATGGATTATATTCTATCATTTACTCCCACTATCTTTTAAAAATTAAAAATATTAAAAAGCATGTCAATAGTATGTGAAATATTTACCTGTTAGCTGTGCCATCAAATATCGCCTTTGCCTAACTTTCTCGGGGTTTTCATATTGATTTGTTGTCTTTCCCGGGTGAGAATAGCGTGCACGACTTTTAAATCTTTGAACCAATGGTCAAAAGTCGAAAAAATATAAAAAACAACGAGAATTTGCTGCAAAAACTTCGAAAAGCAAAAATATTTTTGATAAAACCAGGGGGGTGTGAAAATCGCAGCGGGCTCAGAATTGAGCCTGGTCAGTGGCAATTTCATGAGCCGGAGGAACCAGTTGTCATGGAAATGGCGTCATATGGCGCGAAAATCCGCCATGTTTTTGGCGACACTTTTTGATGCCGAGCACGTCCTCCAGTAATATAGTATAGCTCAGTGCTAACGATCCAAGATCCGACACAAATCGAAGCCAGCCTCGTACCCAGGCGCAAATAACGTACTAAAAATTAGCAACACTACAGTGTTTTTATATAGATCAGTGGCTAAGAGAGCGAGCGCTTTTAGTACGTTATTTGCGCCTGGGTACGAGGCTCGAAGCCGAAACCCATCCTCGTTCCCAGGGCTTCTCGGCTGCCTGCGTTGCCATAAGCCCTGGGACAAGCC